CAATCTTGATAACTCCGTCAGCTCCACTGTTATATAACTGACTGTGTGACCTTCTCAAAGGGGACCTCAGCTTCCTCTCATGCATTAACAAACACAAAGAAAAAAACCCAACAAAACAAAACAAAAACACTCCCTTGTTTCAGTGTGCTGAGATGGTTTTTCTGACTGTGATCCAAACTTAAACTTGAGTGCATCTGTAGCAGTCCATCAGGACAGACAGCAATCCATCTTGCGCCTTACCAGGTAGGTCTCAAAGTGGAAATGTAACCATCCATGCATTCATTTATTCATTAAATACAGGGAAGTGGCAGGGAGTAGACTGTAGGCGGGGTTCACACATGCAGGAAAACAGTGTTGGGACCACCAATGATCAGGTGCAGGGGGTCTCTCTGGATGGAAGCCTGGAGAGACACTCAGCTTCATAGAGATAACTGACTTCAGAAGGACCTTAGGGGAAAGGTAGAACAAACCAGGCAGGGCAGGAGCTGGGTGTGGGATGGGAAGGATGTGGGAAGGCTTGGAACCATTTCTCTTGGTCAAACAGTAAGCAGGTTTTTGTTTGTTTGTTTGGTTGGTTGGTTGGTTGGTTGGTTTTGTGCACCTATTGTGTGCTAGTCACTTCGGGTGAAAAGGTGTGCATATTCAGGGTATAGAGTCCAGGAGGGAGGTGTTAATGAGGCTTAGTTACACACACTGGGATGCGTTGATCTGACTTTTGCTATGTGAACACCCACAAAAGTTAAAGGCACAGACATGTGGAACTGTGGTATGACCCCTATGTATGAAATTATATACCTTCACCATTCGAGCAGCTGACAGATAATGATGAGTGCTAATGTACACTAACCACTGGGGATGAAGTGCACTCCGGGGAGGGCCCTGTCTCTGAGCAAAGCACACTAGTGACACACTGCAAGTGTTGTGATTCCAGAGGCCCAAGCAGAAGACACTGAATCTGGGGACAGTGTGCTCAAGGGAAAGTTTCCCAGGCAAGGGGACATTGTAAACTGATTCTGGGGCACATAAGAGTTGCCCAGGTGCAGGGACAGAAACTGCTCTAAGCAAAAGCATGCACAAACATCTGGAAGGCTTCCATGCCACTGTGGTGTGGTGTATACAAGAATAAAGGAGGATGCAGACAGAGCTCTTTGGGCCTGAGCCTGTGGGAAAGGGAAAGGGCTTGGGATTCATCTCAAGGACCCCACCCGTGGGTTTTAAGCAGGGAGTCAATACAATAACTTTGTAACACACACACACACACACACACACACACACACACACACCCCTTTATCAGCTTGATGCACAAAGCCACTCTTCCTTAATACTCATACATACCATAGCCAAGGAGCTCCCCACCTGCCCGGAGTAGAAGAGCTGCAGTGCTCCAGTAGCTGGAGTACATAGCTTATAGGGACAGCATGGGGTCCTAGGTTCAACTCCCAGTACTGATGTGTGGAGGTACTGGTCTGCAACTCAGCAATGTGTGTCCTTGCTGTCACCTCTAAACACCATGAACTTGGCTGTGCCCTTTGTGGCTGCTTCCCCACTCCCCCCCACCCACGACCTCACCCCATCCCCCACTGCTTAGATGGCCTGCTTCTACTAGTTATCTCCAGGACGGCGGCAGCATTGCTGTTCCTAGGGCAGAGGCCCATTTTCTTCTCTGCGCAGAGACAATCTGGGCAAAGAGAAGAAACCTGGAGTCTCTTTAGAAATCACAGAAGATCTCGGGGACCTTCTAGCTGCCTCACAGTTGCTAGGACAGGCCTATGTCACCATTGTGATCTGAAAGAAGGTCTCCATCATGAGCCACCTTCAGATGAAGGTCTCGTGCAGTAGTGAGGCTAGAACTGTGACAAGGCTAATGGGTCACCCTTCAGTCACACAGGAACAGTTGGTGTTTATCAAAACATACAGCTAAGACACTGTGTGGACGCCACAGGCTCTGCCCAGAGACAGTCTTCTCTGAGCTCTGTGTGGAGACGTGCCCTCCACTTGTTCAGAGCCGGTCTTAATTCTTTCACTGCTGTCCCAGGGGCTCGCTCTTTCAGAGGCGAGTGGTCACTGTAAACACCACTGTGTCATCTTTGTATTGTGGTGAGCCAATGGTCTCAGTGGTTCCCTCCACAAGAACCACACTGGGCAGAACAGGGCACGTCCTGGACCTGCCTCTTCCTCCCAAAGACCAACCTTATTTCCTGTCTAGGATCTTCCACCTTTTAGAATAAGCAAGTGTAGAAACATGGCTCCTTTAAAGGTAAAGGGCCCCCACAAACCTCAACAGCAGATTGATATTGCCATAGGGTAAGCGGTGTACACACAGAGAGAAAGATCTGTGGGACTGTCTGCCCGGGTTTTAACAGCAGCCTTTCTGGTGTTGGGGGTTAGATAATCACCACTTAACTTTAGTATAGTATCTGAGGCTTTATTTAGTTTTCTTACCATGACTGTGTATTGTGCTTTCAGGGAAAGAATTTAAACCCTGGAATCAGACAGCCTTGACTTGTCACATAGTCTTTATGAGCCAAATTGTCAATATACTTGTCTATAAAATGGAGGAGGAGAGGATATTGCACAAGGATGTTGAGAAGTACTCAAAACTATTGCTCTTTTCTCTAATATTTTCATTACTAGTAACTGACATAATTTCTCATACACATAAACAGTACATATTGTCTAGCCCATTGTGTGAGAATCCTTTTTCCTTCGCCTCTGTTTTGACCCCTCTTCCTCAGTTGGCCTTCTGACAGAGTAACTTCCTGCCAGGACCAGACATACAATGTATCTCTGGAAGCCACAGTGACAACTAGAATGTAACATCCACATTTTCCTCCACAGCAACACAACCAGAGAAGCCCATTGGTGTGGGTCTCTAAGCATACACTCATAGATACAAGACAGACTTCTGGTCACTCTAAAAATATTTTTTATGCATTCTGGGTTGGTAGTTTTTGCTAATATTCAGAAAGCAGCTATTCTCACCACTACAGCTATTATTTTGTTGTTGCTTGTTAGTCTGTTTTTTGAGACAGGGTCTTTCTGTGTAGCCCTGACTGTCCTGGAACTCCTTCTATAGAAAGAGATGCAGCTACCCCCAGCTCCCGAGGGCTGGGAGGAAGGGTGTGTGCCACCACACCTGGCCTGCAGCACCAATGGTTATTATTTGGCTTGTTTGTATTCTGTTGGTTTTGAGACAGAGTCTCATGGGGTTGGCTTCCAACTTGAACTTCTGATCTTTTTGCCTACATTTCCAGAGTGCTGAGATTATAGGTGTGCACCACCATGCCTGGTTTATGCAGAGCTGGAAGCCAAACCCAGGATTTGGTGGGTAATAAATAAATGCTCTGCCAGCTGAGTTACATCCCTAACTCCATCCTGCCTTGCTTTCTTTAAAAAAATTAAAATAATTTATTTAGTCTTTTGAATTTCATTTTACTTATCCTGACTTTCTTAACAATTTTGGGAATCCCATCCCAGTCCCCTAACAAGCTTGACTTTCATGATTATGTAATATTTCAAAACTGGGAAGCAATATAACATTTTCATCCGCTCCCATATGTATCTGTAGTCTGGTTGTTGCCCTTGGTAACAATACCAGAAATAATACTGAGTGCACATACACATTCACACATCCCCTTTGTCATACTAATGATTGTTTTTGCAACAGATCTTCAGAAGTAGGACTTGAGCGTGGGACAGGTATAAGCACCCAGCAATGAGCCTTTTCTCGATACACTTCACAGTGTTTCTCATGTGTGCTGAGTGCTTAGCAAGTGTCTGTTGTGTAACAACTGCTCAATAAATCCTTATCTGCCATTATCCTTATTACTAGCCAGGGAGCAATGTTTTGGGAACACTGACTGGTTTATTAGAGACCTATTTAGATAAACGAATGTACCCTAAGGACCCAGGTTATCTGCAATAACAGCACAACAACTGTCCTTTCCTTGTGTAAACACAGTCAGAAGGAAACAGGACTTCAGTGGAAAATGAAAATAGCCATGAAAGTCAGCATCCTCACTTCCTCCTAGCCCTTGTAAATCCATTTCCTCCCTGAGGCAGGAACTCACAAGCCAAAGGCTTTGCCAATATCACTAAAGATTGTTTTGTGTTTTAAGAATTGTTATCAGTTTATTTGCATATCTGATTTGAAAACCAAAACTCTCATTAAAGACTTTTCCTGTCTTGGAGAAAGAGCCATTTGCAGCTTTTCTGGAGAGGGGCTCCTGGTCTGCATCCACCATATCTGGGATGAAGACTCTCCTTGTTCTCCTCAGTGACTCTCAGTGACAGACGCTGAGGTTGTACCCTATGCAGAAAGTGCCGTTTTGCAAAATGCAGCCTTGGCTAGTGCCCAAAGCAGGGAAGGAGGATAGGCTATAAGAATCCAGCAGAAGGGGACCTCCATCCTGAAGCTTGAGTTGGAGAGGATGTGTGATTCTGGCACACCTGACAGAGATGGGGAAACAAAGGAAGCAACTGTGACCAAGTACCTACTATGTGTCAGTATTAGTAGAAGAGTACTCACTCATTGCCCCTGGTGATTATTGGGGCTGGGATGGGAAAAGAGAAGGAAAGGGAGCATGCAAAAAGAGTAGTAGTGTATTTATAGTATTTCTATTTGGTATGATCTGAGCTCTGGCTGCATCTGTTCAAGTTGGATGCTTGTGAGCCAAGCATGAGGGTGTATACCTGTAATCCCAGTACTTGGGACATAGGAGGATCAGAAATGGAGACCAGCTTCAGCTATATAGTGAGTCTAAGGCTGGTCAAGGATACAGGAGACCCTCTTTATAAAAAAAATAATCAATAAATAGAGCTGGACAGTGGTGGCGCATACGTTTAGTCCCAGCACTCGGGAGGCAGAGGTGGGCGGATCTCTGTGAGTTTGGTCTACAAGAGCTAGTTCCAGGACAGCCTCCAAAGCTACAGAGAAACCCTGTCTCGAACCCCCACCACCACCCCCACCAAAAAAAAAATAGATGCCTGTGTAGATGAAATACATTTTTCTCCAGCAAAGGAGCAGATATGATATGTGTGGATTACACAACTAAGGAATAGGTTTAAAGTGCTTTCTACCCAGCTACAATGAGCCCTCTTCAAACACCTGCCATACTTTGAGAGCTATGAAAGTTATGCAATGGGAAGTTTGCTGTGAGTCCCAATCTCACTCCATAGCTATAGGCTTGTAATCATGGGTGAGTCTGTGGCTCATGACAAGTCTCATTTCTCATACTATATCTAAGAAGGGTGGTGAGTGACAATAGGAGAGACTATTTTTCTTTTGCTTTTTTTTCTTCCTTTCAATCTGTATGTGCATGTGATATATGTATGTGGTATTCTCATGCCATGGCATATATGTGAAGATTAGAGGACCATGGAAAAAAATCATGCAAAGTAAAAGAATAAAGGGGTGCTGGGCTAGAAACAGCACCCAGAAGGTCTGTTTGAAAAGGTGATGGTTTAGGGGAGACCTGAGCAATGAAAGAACCCACACTACACTGTGGGCTCAAAGGCACATTGCTAGGCCCATCAGAACTTGTGTAATTAAGATAACAGAATGCCCCAGTCCCAGGGTTGTCCTGGAGTTAAATTGTTTAATGTATGTAAGTCATCTGGCCCAGTGCCTGGCACATACTAGAGACACTAAACAAATGTTCACTTAGTCTCATCATGGGACCCTCCCAGTACTGTGTCCCAGATTTCCGCCTTTCTCTGACTTTGACCCTAGGTAACTCCACCTTTGCAGTAAGTGCCAACTGTGGCTTCTCGGGCTCCCTGTACAAGCAGAGAATTGAAAGCTGGCACCTTGCTGGCCCTGACTTCCTGGCCATGCCTTGATGGTACCTGCAGCCTAGAGTCATTGTTACAGGAGTGACAGAACAGCCTTCCTGAATTGGAGACGTTGGACATCTGGATCCCTTAAACCAGTGTTTCTCAACCTGTGAGTTGTGACCCCTTTGGGGGGGGTGTGAAACAACCCTTTAACGGGGGTCACCTAAGACCATCAGAAAACACAGATATTTACATTATGATTCATATCCGTCACAAAATTACAACTATGAAGTAGCAGCAGAAATGATTTCATGGTTGGGGGTCAGCACAACACAAGAAACTGGATTGAAGGATCGCAGTGTCAGGAAGGCTGAGAAACACTGCCTTAAACAGAGCATACAGACTCACAACTGTGCCTTTTTTCACATCCACCAAACTTCATGACCCACATGGACAGGTACCAAACAACCTGATGGACACCCAGCTGGGACTGTGCATACAGAGGGTCATACCACAGGCTTACTTTTCTTCTATTCATGATGTACTTACTATGTTCTCCATTACTCAAGAGAGGGCAGAGGAGGCATGCATGTGGATAGGGGTGTGTGTGTGTGTGTGTGTGTGTGTGTGTGTGTGTATGTGTGTGTGTTCACTTTCAAGGGTGAACACTTGATATGTGTTGTCCTCTGCCAACTACTGCACTGGGCCCAGGAGGCACCACTCCTTTGACCCCTTCTAAGGCCCGCAGAGACTGAGAGATGTCACAGGAGAACTCGGGTAGTCAGTCCTGCCAGAGTCTGACTCTGAGCATTCCTGGCTCCAGAGGCAGTGCCAGGAATGAGGTCATACAGTTAACCTCTGGAACAAAATCCGATCCACTACCTGCCAGTCTGCCAAGGGGACAGCCAAACCAAAGGCTCGGCTTCCTCTTTTATTGGCCCAAAGTTGAAAACAAGAGACAGAAGCTAGCTGGCACCAAACCTGTCATGATGAAGCCATTCCTGTGGGTTTTTTCTTTTTTATGCTGTCATCGTTGGGGCATGACTTCCCTCTTCTGTGCCTAGCTGAGTGCTGAGTATATGTCACCTGTAGAAAGAAGGTTCCAAAGGCTGGGTCCTGCTGTGTCCATGCCAGACCTGGTAGCCACAGGCTTCTGGGAACTCCAGCTCCCATAGTTAAGCCCAGTGTCCCTGGATCTTCCAAGGCCCCCTCTTTTATACTTTTTCCTCCTCTGGCCACACTGACTCCTCTGTTCAGCCTACAGGTCTGACTGGGCTATCACCACCTGCCATTCTTTCCTCTGTAGCCCCTGTGTTCTTGTCCTTGTCACTGACTCCCAGTGCCATATAGAACCATGTAAGAAGCTCTTCCCATGGAAAAATTTTCCCCTGGAACCATGTCGAACTCTCCATTGTAGCTGCAGCCTGGAGCCCAGTGCTTGCCTAGAGCAGTCGGTCCTCAATAATACTTCATTGGTGAACTAGAGTGAGATTGCTCTCTCACACCTGTAGTCACACTTTCATGCAGACCTCTCTGAGCCCCACACCTCACTGTTAGGCCCCTCTGCAACCCTCAGCTCACACCTCTTTCGACTCTTCCACGTCTGCTTTCTGTCCTGTGCACTGCTAAGACATCGGCTTCAGTGCTGGGTTCTTCCAGGGTTCTGCTCCTTGCCTCTTATCTCTGTCTTAGGGTGATGACAACGATGTGGGTCAGGTGTCTGGACCTGTAAGATATTGAATCACAGTTGGGGTGATGTCCCAAGGGCAGGTCAGTTGGCTGGTGGGGATTTGCTGACAGCTGTCTACACACCTTCACGATCTTGGAGAATTTCAAAGGCCAAAGAATCAGTCCTCGTCCTCCCGTAGGCAGCTCCAGGTCTGGAAAATACAACTGGTACAAAGGACGATTCAAGAATGAATTCCAAGGGCCTGAGAGATGGAGCAGAAGGTAAGGGCACTTCCTACCAAGCCTGGTGACATGAGTGCATTTGGTTCTTAGGACCCACTTTGTGGAAGGAGAGAGACACCCTTAAAAGTTGTCTTCTGACCGCCACACATGCACTGAGACAGAAACATGTCCATACACATGGGTGGACATACACAAAGTGAGTAAGAGAGAGAGACAGAGACATAGAGAGACAGAGACATAGAGAGACAGACACAGAAAGACACAGAGAGAAATGAGATAATAATGATTAAAAGGACGAATACCAATAGCAGTGCCTACTTTTGCTAAGTACCTTCTAGGTACATACTGGGTGTCAAATGGTCACCATCTTTCATTTGATAATGACCTCGTTGTTTGTGAATCATTGAATCGCCTTATAGAGTATGGAATTTAGATAAATGAGCTGTCCTATATATGAAAGAGCAGGAAGTTCTAGTATCAGGACTCTGACTCATGTAGCTCAGCCTCACTGAAGCTAGCCTTAAACTCCTGATCCTCCTGCCTCCACTTCCCCAGTGTTGGGATTATAGACATGCATCACCATAGCTGGCTTGGGGTCAGAATTTGAAACTGGACTTTACCACAGAATATCTACACCTTTGTCTTTACCATGGTGTCAGCTGGGAGATGCCATCCTAAGTGTCTGTGTTCTTTTCCTCTCACTCTGACCCTCCCAGTTTCTTCACTAGGGCCCTTAGACAGTGGAGCCAGTGGCTTGGGCCCCTTAGTGACATTGCTCAGCAGTGAGGGCTGCTGACAACACCTGTGTTTAATTTAAATTATAACTCAGCTGTCCTGTTCCTGAAATAGGTGACACAGACCCACACAAGCTGCAGTCCCCTTCTTGGACCTCCTGACATAAACCCAAATTTGTTTTTTGCAATTGACAGGAAATGAAGCAACTGTAACAGGAAGAGCTTTCTCCCACCTCAGACTCTTGCCCAAGGGCCATCAACCCCCACAAACCAGCATGGAGATTAAAAGAAAGATACAATTCACTGAGACTAAGTGTGTGTGCATGTATGTATGAGTGTTTACATCATTCAAACTGGGGAAAGCTTACCTGAGAAGATGCCCTTTGGCTTTCTCAAGGCAAAAGAGCTCACATAGAAATGCCAGTTGTGAGTTGAGTATATTGTACAGTGGCTTGGTCCCCAGTATCACAGAGGGTAAGACAAAGTGTCTAGGGGTTCCTGTTCTTTTCTCTCTTTTTACTTATTGTGTGTACATGTGGAGTTCAGAGAACAACTTTTGAGAGCTGGCTCTCTCCTTCTACTGTAGAAAGCCCAGGGATGAAACTCAGGTTGCCAGGCTTGGTGGAAAACACTTTTACCCATTGAGCCTTCTTGCCTGCCCATGATTCCTGTGTGTGTGTGTTTCTCAGGGACTATCCACCTTACCTATTTTGAGGCAGAGTCTCTTATTGACCTGGAGATTCCCCATAATGCTGAATCTGTCTGTCTCCATGTCCCCAGTGCTGGATTACAAGGATACACCACCAAGTGTGGCTTGTTTTAAAATGTGGGTTTTTCCTCGTGATTGCAAAACAAACATTTTACCAGTGAACTACCCCTGCATCATGAATAGCACAGGCTCTCTGTGTGGCCAGTGATAGCTAACCCAGCCCTAAACTTGGGGCTGGGAACATAGCTGGAAGGAGGACTCACACAGCCTATTTGAGGCCCTGGGTTCCACCCCTAACCCCGCCCTTTGAAAACAAAAAGATGTCAGTCAGTCTGGAGACCTGTCTACTTGTAGAGCACTTTCTTTTTCCCTTTTGTATCACTGTGCCCCCAGTGGACTCCTTAACAGCTGCCGGCCTGAAAAAAAGGCTTATTTGCCCACTGAGTAAACAAGCAGGACTTCACTCTTGATAGAGCTGGGTGGGGAATGTTTGAAAATGATTCAGTTTAAAGTTAATCCCAGCCACTTCCCCCAGGGATCTTTGACCAACACGACGTCTTTGGAGTTCACTCAGATGCCACAGTGTGGTAACATTCCACCAATTTCAACCGAAGAAGATGCCACGCAGTGGAAAATGGGCCTGGATGAGAAACCAGCCCTGCCCTGGCCCCCGTGGTTCCTCTGAGAACAAGACCTGGCCCTCCCCTCACCCTGGTGGCCACTGGCCCTGGGGCCTGGGCCCCTTCTCAGATCTGTCTCACTGAAGTGCTTCCTCTCACAGGCTCACTGAGGGCTCTGTGGCATTTCTGGAATGTCCTTCCTCCCAGCCTGGCTGTGCTCCCCCTTTAGCAGGAAGGCTAGGAAATAAAGAGGCCCATTTAAGCCTCCTAGAGCGAAGAGAGTACATCTCATAGCCGAGTATTTATGACTGTTACTGTTGCAGGAACGACCTGTGAATCGCCTGGCACCCCTCCATGGTGTGGAAGTGGACTTGGCACCCTCTCTCTGTACTTGGCTGGAGGGTGCAGAGTTGCCCTGGGCAAGGCTATGCAGAGCTCACATTCCCTCCTGCAGCTATTGGGGCTTCTGAGAGGGGACTCCAGAGGTAATCATCCCCCCAAAATCCCAAGGGGAATCCAAGTGCTGTGAACAGATAACTAGTCTTTCCTGGAACAGGGGTGGGGGTGAGGAGTGGGGGAGTGTTACTATGGGAACAAGCGGAAGGCAACAGGAAGGCAAGAGTGGCTCCTGTGCCTCCCTGTCCCATTTGCCTTCACTTTTGTGTGTATTCATTTGTCTGCAGGTAGAGGCCAGAGGACAACCTCAGCTGCTGTTTGTCAAGCAGTGTCCACACACATCCCCACCCAGGTAGTCTCTCATTGGCCTAGAGCTTGCCAAGTGGACTAGGCTTACCAGCCTGCAGACTCTGAGAGTCTTCCTGTCTCCACCTCTCCAGAATTGGGATTGCAAACATGAAATATCATGCCTAGATGATATTTGTTTATTTATTTTAGACTCTGGGGGATTGAACTCAGGTCCTCATGCTTGTATACCAGGCACTTTACCAACTGAACTGTCTTCCCAGCCCCTTTCCCCTTTATTCGGAACTAGCTCCATCTACAGCTCAGGCCTGCAGAGGGAAGCCCCCACCCCTCCACTTTAGCAAACTGGCCCAGAGATGCAGCTGCACTTGCTAATTGGATGCTTGTTACTGACTTTTGATTTGTGATTTGTCTCTCTACTTCTTCCAGGCCTATGGGAAGGGGAAGCTAGTCAAGTCAGGCAGGGCCAGTTGAGTTGGCTAGATGTGAACAAGCCCCAGAAACTTGACTGCAGAGCACACAATGATACACCCCCCCGCCCCCAGACCCCAGAGGAGTTCTGACAGCTTTCCTGTTTCTTGTTCTAGTCACTCTTGAGGCCCTTGGGTCCCTGATATGTGCTCTGCTATCTTTTTGAAACAGAATGTTCTCTTGGGGCTTAAATTTATGTAACATAATACCCTATTGGAATTCTGAAAAGGAAAAATTTTAATGGGAATTTCTAGCAACAGCCATGTGGAGAAACAAAGAAAGGTCACTGTGGGCCAGATCCTGAGTGGCCTCACTATGATACTGAACACAAGCAAGCCTTGACTTGTACAGCCAACTCCACCCCCACCCCTGGTGGTCTGCAGAGCTTTAGAAATAGAGGGTCCATTAGCAGAGTGGCCCAAAGATCTCTGAAAGGGAAGGGTTCACTGTTGCCACACATCCCAGCCCTCTAATATTAAGAGACAGGAACAGCCATTGAGGACCAATGTGCCCAAGCCAATGTCGGAGAAAACCAGGCAGCACAGTTGTATCCCACAGAAAGACAGTGGGAGCTTCTAGGAGCTTCCAGGCACCCTGTGGGTATCTGTATATCTAGGTGAGGACAGTGAGCAGAACTTCCCAGCCTCATCAGCCAAAGCCAGCACACACAGCTTCTGGAACTTGAGGAGGAAACCACTAGTTTTCACAAAGCGAGTTTGCACCCCCCAGGATCTGGCTTTAAGACAACTCCCCAATTCCACTTCTAGTGGTAACCCCTTGTTTGCTTAAAATACTGCCTCCCTGCCCTATTCCCTTCAATGGGAGACATGTGGCTGTGACCAAAAGAAGTGTGTTGAAAATGCTGGAGCATGCTGAGTCTGGATTTATAACTGTTTCACTCACAACACAGTGGCCTTGAGTGCAGAAGACCAACTTCTGCCCATTCTTGCGGACCTGTCTTTAGTGAGACAGCACTGCAATACTGGTAATGGGCATAATCTGGTGCTCCCCATGGCATAGTCCAGTTCTCCCCATGGCATAGTCTAGTCCTCCCCATGGCATAGTTCAGTCCTCCCCGTGACATAATCCAGTCCTCCCAGAGAATCTGGCATCAGCATCCGGGGAGCCTGATAGAAAATATGACCCCTATTGGAATTCTGAATCTGTTCCATTGTGAGAGTTCCCTGGCAGCTTTGAGACCCCACCTCCAGCCCCGATAATCTCTGCAGCTGTGGCCTGAGACTGGCTGAAAACTGTCCAGGTAACTGATGATGAAAAGAATAAAAAAAGGAAAGGCAAAGTGGGTTACCTTTTGAGCCCTGCCGAGGTATGCCACTAAGCAAACACACCATGCACAAGAGGTTTATTGGGGGAGGGGAAGAGTGAAAGAGCAAAAGGCCCTGTCAGAATGGGAACACGAGAGAGGCAGGCAGGCAGGCAGGCAGGCAGTCAAACAGACAGACAGAGAGAACAGAGACAAGAGGAAGAAGGAAGGCAAGAGAGGTAAGAGTGGTAAGAGAGCAAGCTGTGCGGGGACACTTTTTTTTAAAAAAAATTATTTTATTTACATTGTTGTTTTCTTTACATGTCTGTCTATGTGAGGGTGTCGGATTCTCTGGAACTGGACTTAGAGACAATTATGAGAGAAATGTGGGTTCTGGGAAATGAACCAGGGCCCCCTGGAAGAGCAGCCAGCACTCTTAACCACTGAGCCATCTCTCCAGCCCATGCCTAAACACTTTTAAAGGGTGTATATGTCACAGAGCTGACGGCAAAAAGGCACCTGGCCACAGGTCATGATGCAACTGCTTCCATGGCTGAGGCAGGCTGCTGTTTATTATAAGAAGGCTAGGAAATTGAAAGGGGTAGCTGGTGAGGCAGGAATGGGGGCACCAAGAAATGGGGCGCTTTATTCTCTAGACTCCTTCCTGTTGTCTGACGCTGTCAGCATCTTTGGGGGACTTGAGGAAGCTGGCCAAGTCCTGGGGTAGCTAACTGTTTTACTCACTGTCTTGAATTTCTGATCCTTCTGCCTCCACCTCCCAAATGCTGGGATTATACACGTGCCATCAAGATAAGTTTATAAGGCGCTGGGCTTTGCAAAAGCTAGGCAGGTGCTTTACCAACTAGACTTTATACGGAGACCCCACAGCTATGGAAAAGCAATCACTCATTTCCTTGTCACCAGCTGCTGATGGGACCCAGGCACCAGTCTTCATTGGCTCTGGCTCCCACTTAGGTCCTTATGAAACAGGAAATCTTCCTAGTGCTGACCTGATGTAGAATCAGCTGTTTCCATCAAAAAGATGGTTCAGGAAGGGGTGTGGTGGCAAGGGACTGCTGCATAGGTATGGCACTTCTTTATATGGCAATGAAAATATTCTGGCATTATGGGCTGGGAAGATGACTCAGTGGGTAAAGTGCTTGCTGTACAAGAATGAGAACCTAGTTTGGATGCCCAAGACTCACATAAAAGGTGGGTGTGGCAGTTTGCATTAAGAGAGTCAGAGCAGAGAGGCAGATCCCAGAGGGCTGGCTGGCCTACTAGCTGGCCTGAAACAGAGGCAAGATGCAGGTACAACAGAGACCCTGTCTAAGCTAAAACTAGGGTGGAGAGCAATAGAAGATGACTGAAGTTGACCTCTGACCTCCACACATGACAGCTCAGGTGAGCACACCAGCATGTAGGTGTTATACACGTGGGTTCTGGGAACTGAATCTTGATCCTCTGGAAGAGCACCTAGTGCTCTTAATCACTGAGCCCTTTCTACAAACCCAACATCTAGTTCTTCAAAGGTTGAATTTGAGCCTGGCGGTGGTGGCACATGCTTTTAGTCCCAGCACTTGGGAGGCATAGGCAGGCGGATCTCTGTGGGGTCAAAGCCAGCCCGGGCTCCCGAGGGAGGCCCAGGAGAGGCTCCCAAACCACACACAGAAAACCCGTGTCCAAAAAACAAAAAAAAAAAAAAAAAAAAAAGTGTATACCTTACCCTATGTGTGTTTTATTTGCAAATTAACTATGAAAAAACAAACAATGGTGCCGAAATGGAGAAGGAGCACCGACAGACCTCAATAGAATGTTCTTTATCTCAGAAGCTGGGCTCTGTGCAGGAAGGCTCGCCTGCCTTTGTTCAGAATCTCAGGGTCTCCATTTAAGAACCGTCAGTCAGGAAGCTGGGAGAGCTGTGGGCGGAAGTGATTTGCAAAGGAATGGAGAGATCAAAGGAGGAACAGAGGTCAGAGATGGGGGGGCAGAGGTGGGGTGGGGAGTGGGTGTGAGGGGTAGATGTCCTTGATCAGCCCTTCTCTGTTGGGGAATATTATTTTAAAGTGGGTTATTTTTGTTTATGTTGCATTTGTTTAACTCTGTGAGGCTGGGTTACTGTGCCTGTCTAAAACACCTGACGGTCTAATAAAGAACTA